ACTTTTTTTCTTAGTTTTTTACTCCTCTACACGCTCCCGAAGTTTTGCCATTTAATTTGGAAACACCCTGTATATATATATATATATATATATATACAGAACAAAAGGGTTTCTGCTCTGGAGTAATGTGAGTCCCACTTAAAATTCAGTTATAAATAAGACTGCTTGTAAAAAGGTTATTTGTTCTTATGCCCGTTTCATAATTAATCTATTAATATAGATTAACTTTAATCTTGGTTTACTTTTTTCTTTTTCTAGTTTTAAGAATTAGAAAAGGATAAAGAGTAAATTAAACAGAGATTAATCTACATTAGAAATGAACATTAAATAAATATTGCGGAGCATTATTATTGTTTTTTTTAATTCCAGGGTTCGTATTATATTAAATTCACTTGTTAGGCGGCCTAATATAAAAATGTTGACATATTTAAACTCTAATAGCACACTTTATCCGAGATACATCCTGGGGATGTCTTTAAAATGTTCATAGGACATACGGACATTTTCTGAACGTTCCTTGGAAGTTTGTTATTAGAGATTATATACTAGCGAAAATATACATATAGATAAAAAGAGTAACATCTTAAGAATTAATTTAGGATTTAAACTATTTGTAAAAAAAAAACTTTCAGCCACATTAAACTTGATATTGAAAATACGACATACGAAAAAGCTTTAATATCATTTCATTAAAAATCTTCGCGGTTATCGCCTTAAAATAATTTTAAGAAATCTCTGGAGGTATCTGTAATAAGCGGAAAAGAGGTACTCGTCCTGCTCGTGATAAGCATTCATGAGGACATGCTCAACGCAAGAGTATCGCTATAGGAAAATGTGTCCATGAAAAGAAACTTTTGAATCAGATAAAATATCTCTATACGTTCAGATTTTAACTTTGAATTTAAGGGGGATTTTATAGGAAGTTCAAATAGACTTGAAGAAACCCACCAGATTCTGTAAAAATATATAGAACCCACTTTACACACCATCACATTCAGAATATTCAGATAAATGCATCACAGTCCTTTCATTTAAATAATTTTTCCCATTGTAAACTATTTTAATTATTTTAAATATATTTTATATTAAACTTAGATTAATTATTATTTATAATATATGTATCATTGACTTGAATATAATTAAAAATACAAAATTACACCAAAAATAATAAAATGAAAGTCCACATTTTCATCTATTCCACTTCTTCCTCAATATTTTTGTTTAAAAATAAAATTGTCATTTTTTGTTTATTTATGTTGCGTTATCATTTTGTTATCGTTGTCTCGCCGGTTTTCAAACAACTTGAATTCTTCTTTCGTAAGAATTCAAATCGTCTGGGAAATAAGGAACGCGCCATGGAATTTTCACAGAAGTCCGATAATGTGCGACTATTTAAACACGAGATTCCCTTCACTGGGGGTGGACCTCGAAAGAACTCGGAGTTCCGAGCTACTGTCTTCGGCTGTGCTATAACGATCCATTAATATTAAGCAGGTGTAAATAGCCTCGCCGACAGGTACAGAGCCTTTCTACCATCTCTAAGCAGTAATGAAAAGCAGTGTCCCAGCACCATCCCCATGATCTCCATTCTCGTTCAAAGCAGCAGAGAGGAACGTTTTCATTACGCCGCCACTGCCGTTACCTTTTTTCTCGAGATGAAATTTTTATTCAAACTAAGCAAAAGTTCTTTCTTTACTCATACAGAACAGAAGATTGCGGCAATATTGCTGCAACATTTTTAATATTAATATCGTTGAAATGTTGTGATGGCTGCGTTCAGCAGAAAAAGCAACTATGCAACTGTTGTAAAATTCTTTAATATGATTGGTCTTGCCTTTAGTTCCTCATTGAATCTAAATGTATAAACCAATCATATTCAAGAATTTTACAATAGTTATAAAGCTGCTTTATCTGCTGAACGCAGCCAATATTGCTGCAATATTGTTGAAACAATTTATGCTATATTGGTTTATATATAATTTGTGATATCGTGCTACTAACTCGCGACCTATAATTGTTATAGATTCTTAAATTAATTAATAAATCTTAGTATTAATGATAAATTAATAATTTCTGAATTTCAATCTCCTAGCTTCTATATCGATGGAAGATCCATTTTTCTAGATGGAAAAATAACATCAATAATAATAATTGTAGGATCCGGGACGGGGGGATGAAGTGTACGATTATTAAATGCGAAACATAAATATTATTAGGACTCACCAATAGCGGTGCACACCCCTACAATCCTTGTCATCGTCGACAAATGATGCACGTCGCTCGGCCTTTCGTAAGTAGACATATCGCCGATGGGATACTTTACGAGGTCCTTTGTCTGCGTTATCATGGGACGTCCAATAGATCCGCACGTTTGTATGCCTTTTAACAAAAATCCTACAGGATTATGTCACTTGTAATTACTTGAAAGATATTTTTCTACAAATGTCTTTATAATTTGAGCGGTTATCTCTTCAAGCTTGTTACACGTTACTCTTTAAAGTAAATCTCACTCCATGAAGAGTGAAATCTCTCTCACCCTTAAAGATAAATTAAAGATAAATTAAAGATAAATTGAAAATTAATCCACTCTTTATCAAGACTGACTCAAATTTAACTTTTTAGAATGAGATTTCATTCCAAAGAATTTAAAGAATAATCAAGTACCCCCGAAAAACATGTATTGCGACCCCAGATAGCAACGTGTTTGTCTTGTTGCTGGCATATTGCTTGCTAAGTATGCGTTGCTATTAGAATTGCAGCAACTGAGTCCTCATTTGTTGGCAACTTGATGTCTTCACGATATCATAACATTGAGTAGCAATTTGCCAGCAGTTTGTCGACAACTTTAAAATCGTCATCATCAAAATTCGTACTATTGCCATCATGTTGCCATAATAATATTATACAATGCTTTATTATATTGCCGACAACGCAAGATAACATTGATGTAGCTATCTTGCTGTTAAACTGCTGGCAATACGCATACACATTGTTGTCTGCATGTTGCTACAATGTCGGTATATTCGAAATTGTTGAAGACAAATCTACGACAAGTTATCAGCATCATAAGCAATCACAGATTTGCGAGATTTTGCTGAGACACGCTTTGCTATCTGGGACATTATTTCCCACATTAAAAGCAAATTATCTTATAAAGAACATTTTGTTTAAAAATTTATCTAATCAGTGGACGGTTACTTTTTCTCGATTCGATGATATGAACTAGCTTGTAAATAAATCCTGCAGCAGTTGTGCTCGGATCAAAAAACCTGCGTCAAACTCTCTGTAAAACTTTCTTTGTCTTTTTGTTCTTTCCTTTATCACAGCGCGATCCGATCGTGTTGCGTTATTTTGAATTTTCTCTCGACGTACCGAAACTTTTCACCGTCGTTAAAGCATCCTCCACTGTTGCAAGCTCGCGCGAAACTAAACGCGTCGCGGCCGCCGAAGAGGGAAAAGCGCCGAACTTGCGCAAATGCCGCTTCTGTTCGAATTTCCTGCTGCTCCGTGCCACGTGTCCCTCGAGGTGTTATTACAAGAACATGTGAGATTATAATTTAACAAAGGTTCACTCATTTGCCAGGTGTAACCTTTGCTATTTTATTGTCTTTATATATACACATAGTCTCTTGCATATTTTTAATCTTAATGTCACATGACATAACGAGCAAAAAGAAACGACCTTATTTTATATTTACGACATAGCATATATATAGAACACTATTATATTTCATTTTTAATTATCGTAATCGGATTTCTAGATGGAATCGAATTTCAGGATTAGAACAACACTGGATAAGAAGGCGATATAATATTTGTCCAACAACAGAGTTATTATATATATTTATTCATATACAATAAATTTTTATAATTGTGCGGTATACAAAAATATATCCACTCGCGATAAGCGTGTAGAATACTTGAACAACACGGACACTTGGTGAGGTAGAAACAGTATTACCTACGGAATAACGATATTTAAAATAAAACGCCGTCGCATATGCGTGCGACGATCATCTTTTGTAAAGTATACTTTACATTAAGTTTGTTCGCGTTGCTTAAAATTCCCCAAAATTTTTGCACTTGAAACGAGATAAATATATAATTCGGGCGTTGAAAAGAGAGAAAGAGAAAATTCTGAAAAAGATTCTTATAAAAAGTGCAAGCAACGCGAACAGACCTACTGACGCACGCAGTAAATATGTAGTGTGTGTATATATATATATACTTCAGCTTAAAGCGTTTCACCGTGCTTCAGGCATTATCCTGCTGTAAAACCGAACGCGTTAAAGCATTTTGTACTCCTAGGCTTCTTCGCAGTTACATGCAGGATACACGTGTCTGACATTTTTGAAAAATATATTTCTCGCATGCAAATATTCAAAGCGCTTCTGATTTTATCGCGTTAAGCTTCTTCTCAAAGTCTTTCCTTTGCTTGGGTTTTCTTTTTCTTGCTCTTGGCCACTTTGGGATTACAGTCCCAGGTGGGAACGATGTGCTTCCCTTGAATCTCTAAAAAATTGATGCTACAATCGCGAGTTATATGGGCGGATTTTGGTATCATGGGATGAGAAATCGGACTCAATGATTTTCTGCTGCAATGCTGGACAGCAGGCGATGGCGCCAATGATCTGAAATTTATAATTCGAATTATTCTTCGCTCTTAAATTTCCCGACTATTTAAAGACCAAAGAAATGTTTGAACTGTTACTAATGTACCTATTTTTGCTGTTAGGAAGTCTCGAAGTGTCTATGGGAGCGAGTCGGATATTTTTCGGCCAAACAGTAGGAGAGACAGAAGCTTGCCAGGCGGAATGAATATTCGGATTCCTCAAAAAGGCACCTGGCTTTTTCGCAGAACTTTGGAAGCCAACGTTTCGAACTAATCCTAAAATATAGCGATTCATGTTTGTGTTAATCGATATTGAAATAACTCAATATTAGCTACCTTGGGCGGAAGAGATTTCCAAATCCTCGTTTATAAATTTAATCGGGATGGTCTTTACAGTAGAGAAGCTTTCTCGTGTAGACACTGTAAAAGGCACGGGGCTTACAACAATCCTCTCATTAAAAATAGTGCCAAGCTTATTTCTGCCAATATGTGGCGTGCACAGCCGCTCCTTGGACTTCAAAGCGTCATCTTCCGTATCACCAAAGTCTCTTAGTTTATTTGCAGAGATTGACTTTCTCGATTTCCTAGAAATCAAGTATACATTAAGTAACAAAAAGCGCGCCTGTGTTCGATATTTTACTTTCTTTTAATCTTACTTCTGGATTCCTTGAAGATTCGCATCGTTCTTTATTGTCTGAAGGGAACTTTCTGAATCCAGCAATCGATTTCTTATACTTATAGATTTGTTCTCGATATAATTCGGTGAGATTGCTTCCTCTGTCCAATTCGTTTTTGAATTTCTTGACGAATTTCTATTACCGTGAACAGGAGCGAGAGCTATTCTTAGGGCGTCAGTGAAATCGTCGTGCAAAGAATCTGTTTCATCCTTCTCGTTAGGAAAAAGCTCTGAGATTACACATTCCATCATCATGTCAAGAACATCTTCGAATTTTGCCCTATTCAATTTGTATTGCACAGAATCCTCTCCTTCCTATAAATAATATAAATAATATAAGTATTTTTTATATAAGTATATAAAGAATAGTACAATATATACATGTAGATTATAACATACGAAAGAAACTCTTTACCTTCATTGAAAGATTGCGTTCTACGAATACTTCATCGTTCTGCGGATCATCAAGTTTCTTTGTCTTGTTACTGCTGGAGCCAACGTCACGTTGCGTACTGTTGCTGTCACAAGTCGGGTTCTTGCCAATTATTCTCAGATACGGTATCTGTGTTTTCCACTGCATGCACTCGTCCAAAATAGATTCTTTAAGCAACTGATTGTCCTCCTCGTAGAAGATTCTCTCCACAGTCACCCATTGTTCCTCCAATTTCTGAGTTGCCACGCTCTCCACCTCCTGCGACCATGAAACAGACGTTGCTGCGCTGTTGCCATTGGACAGGACGTCATCCTTTAACGCTTTCTGCCGTGGCAAACTAGGTAGTCGGAAACGACCGTCCCATTCGTCGTTGCATCCATCCTCTTCGTCCTTGAGTCGCAGCAGATGTTGGGGAGCCTTTATCTTCTGCGTCAGCGGACTAATCCTACAAGACGAATAATTCCCAACAATTTCAATAATCAACAATTACTCAATAATCATGGGATAATTTCTCGGAATTGCATATAATGCAAAATAAATAAACAAACTTACGTGCTTCTCTTGATGTTGTTCCTTCGCATTTCATGCTTTCCCTGAGGGTCTCCGCCATCAACAAGATCCAATCGGCGACGTTCCCGTCGCAAAGATACCGCAACCCGCGTGTTTTCGATGTGAGAGAGGGAGAGAAAGAATACTTACTGACTCTCTTCCAATTTCTGACGTTCGTAACGTCCTCGACTGGGATCTTTCAGGGCTTTCAGCAGAGCGGTTGCGTAGCCGCCACGCCTATTTTTACCATTCATAATTTCTGTTTTACACCTCACGCGAGCCTACTAATCCTACTATCGATCCCGTGCTCGAATCGTGATTGAAATCTGAAATATTGACCATGATATAACCCACGACGAGGTTCGCTTCACCCCTCTGCGCATGATATATACTATTATACTGAGGGTTGTGAAGGTCTACTTTTTTACAATCCTTATTCAGCTGAGACACGAACCCACGTCGATGATAAAAATCTCCACTGACGTAGAAGGAAAAGGATAATTTACTTTCGCCGGTAAAACGTTTCTGTAACTTACAAGAAGATGATCGTGAAAATATCTCAAAACAAGATAAAAATTACAAAAGTTAACAAATTCACTGGTGTTGACCAATGAAATCACAAATATTTAAATAATCACTTTTGTAATTTTTATCTCGTTTCAAGGTATTCACATGTATCTCAAGGTTTGTCACGTCGCAAGCTCCTATTCACTCTATCAACCACGTTGGAGTGGGTAAGAGCTATGGTGAGAGCAATTAGAACATGTTGGAGCACGCGACGCGACAAACCTTCTATCACGTCCCTATAAGCGCAAAATGTTCCTAGAATGTTACATGAATATTATTAAAAAAATTAAAATAATGTTATAATATTTCGAAAATATAAATATTTTTTTAATATTACAGGAGTATTCTATAGAGGTTATATGTCCACTTATAATAAATAGGTATTATATTTTAATATTCCTGAAACATTATTAAAATATTAATAAATATTAATTATTTTTAATTTTGTGCAATTTGAATTCACAATCCAGTAACGAAAAGTTCTTATCAGTCTATGCTGCATCTTGTGCTAAAAAAACGTTTCAACATGATTTTAAGTACATATCCAGTTCTACAAATGAGAGCAAAAATCATTTTTAGTTTTTAAACGTATACTTATACTGAACAGATGTAACAGTTTTACAAATTAAAGTAAATGCTGTTAATACTTTCTAATGTTTATACGATATTACAGTAACATTAAATAAATACTTTAAACGTTACTTTTAATAATCATATAATATTATTAGGAGTGGACATATAACCATCTATTAATATTTCAGGAATATTATTTAATATTAAATAATATTATGCGCTTATAGGGGTATTGTGTATCCACCATAGACACAATCGATCTCTGTCTCATTCTTTATTTAGTCAATTATTTTTCAACTGGAATTACTTTCTATGTTTACGAGAAAAAAATTATAAAATCATTTTATGCAGATACATTCGTGAAAAATTAATAATAACAATATTATTTCTCGATATGCGAATAAAATTACATTACAAATGATATAATCAAGATACAATCGATCCCCTGATTGCTTTACATATGTTGATCAACATGATTTTTATTCACCATCCCTACATGCATCGTGTAAAAATATAATTAGTTATAATTCGTTGTACAATCGCTATATAAGACAGGCCGGTTTATAAGTTCTCATATTTAAGACTATCTTAAGTATAGTCTGAAGATGTCATAAACCTATCACAGTCGTATTAACATCTTAAGACATATTACTTAAAACAGTCCTAAATTAAGAATCGATTACGATACCGCTCATAGCTACACGCATACCTTTACATCCTCGGATTAAAAACGATTAAAAACGCTACGTAAATAAACAGCGATCGTCTTATTCATAATTGCTATAACAATAACAGTTGTATTATTTAGTTTCATTATTGATAACAGTTACATTGTTGCATCAACATCGATTCACTTACAAAATTCACTTATAATTAATTCAATTATAATTCATTTTGATCTTAATTAGAGACAGAGGAAGCCTGAGTTAACAATTTTAATATATGGTGATTGAAACCAGTACGCTCGCGATAATTTTTATTTGTACATACTATATGCTGCAGTAACTACAATGGATTGAATTCGAATTAATATTCATTAATAACAAGTCCTTAGCCTTAAGTTTCACTATAGATCGTTTCGGTTCACACGTACCAACTTAAGGTAAAAATATCATTTCAAACACTGAAATAAACTTGTTCAAAATATCGCATAAAAGATTTCACTATTTATATACTGACTAATATCACCAATTGATGTGGACCGATTACACTTCTAGGAAATGTACTTTATACATATAATTAGTACCAAGAGCAAACTCAACAATTACAAAGTCCTCTTGCATAATAACAATTATTCACATTGTCTATATATGTATATACTGATCTTATAAAAAGAAATTATATTCATTATATTATATTCGCTTTATATTCGATGTGAGATGTAACATTTATACTAGATTGGCGTATTGCGATCGAACGATCGCGGATGATAATGAAAAACAGCAGAATTCAATGAAACTGTTTGTACAATTTGTGTAACGAATAGTACTTGTTATATCACGATGACCAGACTTGACAATGTTTTATTAAACAATACGTTAAGAGTGTTAAAATATCAGCAGAGACGAGCTAATCTATCTCGTCTTGTTGTTTATAGAACATAAAAATTATCAAAGTTCATTTAAGTAATTGTACAGATATGATAAAAATTATTATATAATTATAATAAAATTAGTCATGAAATAATTTTTATAATTTTGTAGATAAATAACTGATTAACATTCTTGATGAAATAGACAGAGATGCTACATACGAATAACGTAAATATGTACAGAAACTCGATAAACATATTTCAAACTATTAAATAGCAAAGGCGACAATTTCTGACAATGAAGAGTTAACGAACGCTTTTACTAAACACGAGATAATGTGTGTCATGTATATATTTATTTAAATTGTGTGTAAATAGTGTATGTACAAAAAATCCCAAGTGTTATCGAGTTTCTCTACATTTCTTTTAAAAAAATTTAAATGAAGTCAGTCCTTTCATCGAAGATCGGACTTACATAAATAAGTAGCTAATACATTTAAACATTTAATTTAAACGATCTATTCTGTTATCTACAAAGACACGAATACGAAAAATAAGTCATATATATTTAAATACTTTGCATAAACTTTAAAAAGGTCTCTATGCAATGCTAGCTCTGGCTATCGAATGTAATTTAAATATCATTCGACATTCATGACGGAATAAAACTCATCGGATGAAAATTATTGAATGAAGATAGAGAAAATGAGAAGTGATTTGACTGAATGTCGTTATACTACCGTTCCATCGCTTTAATGAATCAAGCATCAAGCTCTGGCCCTCGCACTTTGAAAAATTCTTTTGTATATTTCTCTAGTATACAATTAATATGGCTCAACTCCAAACATCACTAGAATATCGCTTTTGTGACTCCATCTTCTTGATATAATTTGCAGCATCAAGTTCTGACATATTGCCACGTTCCATCACCACTTTAAGCAATATATTGTGCACGTCGCGAGCCATGTTTCTTGCATCCCTAAGAAAGAACATACATAATTTACATGTAAAAATTTTAATATAAATTTTTTTTATAATAATAGATTCTTTAAACTAACCCGCAAACATAAATATGTCCGTTTTGTTCGCCGATGACACGCCATATTTCGTCTTTGTTCTTCTCGAGTAAATGTGTGACGTAGACTTTGTGCGATTGCTCCCGGCTGAACGCGGTGTGCAATGTTAAAGTGCCATCTTTCACATACTGTTCTAATTCTTCACGATAGAGATAGTCCTCTTGGCTTTTTCTGCATCCAAAATACAGTATCGTGTCACCCGTCTCTTTACCTGGAATTAAGATTTAAATATTGATACATTCTACTGATGGGGAGAATATGTTATGAGATATCGAAAGCAAAAGCATGCTTACCTTCTTTTCTGGCAAAGTCTCGCTCCTGTATGAAGCCCCTAAATGGCGCTAAACCGGTTCCCGGACCAACCATGATGATAGGGATACTCGGGCGCGTTGGTAAGCGGAACTGAGATTTCCTTACAAAAATCGGAACGAGACAAGGTGGATCGGAGGGATGTTTCTCCTTCAACCAACTGGTTGTTACGCCCTTGTTTATTCTGCCGGTCGGAGTTTTGTACTCCACCACTACTGCCGTAATATGGATCGAAGTTGCATGAAGCTAAAACGGAAAGAATGATTTTTTTATGTCTTTTTTTTAAAAGGAACCTCTTCTTAAATCGTTCTTACAATCAATTAAAAGAGATACCTTCGGAGACGAGGATATTGAGTAGTATCGACATTGTAATCGTGGCAAAATCTCGCACAGATGATCTAGAGGTGGCTTCAAACTGGGAATATCCTCTAAAATATGCACAATATTGCGATTATTTTGGATTATCCATTGTTGATAGGCAGCTTTGCCCTCTGCGGTGGTCGACGCCATCAGTTTTAGCTTCTCCTTGTCTGCGGGATCGGTCGCGTACTCTGCTAACTCCTTGAGAATATGCGTGCGTGGATTACTTGTAATATCTAAGTAATGTGTTAAAGCAGTCCTGTAGCTGCAAGGGCAAGGGAATGGATGCTTCTTCGAGGATTCCTCTGTAAAGCGAATAGTAGATTATTTTTTAAAAAATCCAAACGCATAAATCATTCTCACATAAAAATTAGAGAAGAAAGTAAAAGTAAGAAGAGCAAGTAAATACCGTCTGTATTCGTAAGGGTGAAAACAGTATCCAAGTTCGCGCCGCATTGTTCACCAATTTTGTTCACCAGTTCCGTGTCGTTCACAGGATAGACGGCCAAATGATCACCTGTCTCGTAACGTATTTTGGAGCCTTCGACGTTGAATTCTATATGCATGCATGATCTGTCGGATGTTGGACCATGTAGTTCGCGATTTATTCTCACAGGAGCCAAGAATGGATTTTTCGCATCATATGGCCTACAAATAAAAGATCAAAAATTCTAAAAATGGGAACAGTGATTATTTGAAAAAACTCTGTAGTAAATAAGAACTTACGATCTCTGGTTCGTGAAGGAATGAAGACGAGCGAGTTCTCCGGTGTAGATGCGATCAGTTGATAGATCTATATGTTCTGTAAGTTGGTATTGTCGAATACTGACATCCTCGCCAGTGCCTTCGATGCCAAAGAACTCACAGACAGCTGGCCAAAATTTATCTTTCCACGTAATAAAGTCATCCTCTATGCTGTAACATTAAAATTAATTATTAAGAAAAAGAAATTCTAAAAAATTGTAGAAATATTAAGAATGGATGATAAAATAAGTAAAATATATTTGTCTTGACTATAATCAATGTTATAATTTAAAAATATTAATTTTCATTTTAACTGTTACTTTGAATTTTTTTTTTGTACTTTAATTAAATTGTAAAAATAAAGAACGGATATGAAAAAAAGAAGCACATTCCCGAGAACCTACTTTGCATCATCGTCCCCAAGACCCAACTCGCAAACGCGC